CCCCTCCTTTGCCTGGGGGTGCTAGTATCCCCCCACCCCCTCCTTTGCCTGGGGGTGCTAGCATCCCCCCACCCCCTCCTTTGCCTGGGGGTGCTTGCATCGCCCCACCCCCTCCTCCCTTGCCTGGAGGACCAGGAATGCCTCCTCCCCCCCCCCCTCTTCCTGGTGGTCCTGGAATCCCTCCACCCCCTCCATTTCCTGGAGGCCCTGGCATTCCTCCACCTCCACCAGGAATGGGTATGCCTCCACCTCCCCCTTTTGGATTTGGAGTTCCTGTGGCCCCAGTTCTGCCATTTGGATTAACCCCAAAGAAGCTTTATAAGCCAGAGGTGCAGCTCCGGAGGCCAAACTGGTCCAAGGTGAGAATTTCTGTCCATTTCAGCAGTAGATCTTAAAAAATCACTTCAGTTTCCTACTTTGCATTTGTGCATGGGTGGGTTTCCCTTTCTTATGGCTCACATCTGTCTGTCTTAAAGTTCTACTAATGCTTATGTTTGTTCAGCATATATGAGGCATCTCCTATGCCATACATGACCATGGAGAGTTCTTTGAGCCCTGTACTCTGCTATAAAACCTAAACTTAGCTTTAAGTTAGTTTTTTGCCTTTTCTCTGAGGATCTGAGTACCATGGAAACACAGTTTGATAATAGCCATTTCACCAATCTGCAGCCTACTGATAATTGTGCTGATCCAAAAGTTGTGGATTTATGGATATAGCTCCTTCCCCACCCCGCAGTAAATGAGCTACACAGGATATGTTTCCATGGCACACTGTGTGTTAGAGGGAATTACTTCCACTCTCCCACTGTGTGTTTGAGACCCCTATGATTCTGTGCCAGGCTTTTGCTTACAGAAATCAAGTTAAAGGAGCTTAGGGATTTGTTCATAAAATGAATAAATTTGGCACACAGCCACATTGACGGGATAAATGTAATGTAAGACAAGGGAAGATGTGAAATCCCTAATGCTTCTAAAACTAGAGGATTTGGGGTTGGAAGGAGAAGTAGCATAACTGAATCTAGTTCTTGAATAATCACCAATAAATAAACAGGAAGCATCATCTCCTGATCCCACCACAAGGAACACAGCTGTTCTCTGTGTCTCAGGTTAGTCTTGTTCTAGTATGACATTGCTAATAACCAGCCAGCCACCTCTTTTGCATCGTAATCAGTTTTCTAGGATGGAAAGTACAGAGTTCAGCTTAGTTAACTCTTGATACCCTGCCTGTATCCACAGTTTGTTGCTGAGGACCTTTCCCAGGACTGCTTCTGGACAAAGGTGAAAGAGGACCGCTTTGAGAACAATGAACTTTTTGCCAAACTTACCCTTACCTTCTCTGCCCAGACCAAGAGTGAGTCCCTTCCTGTTTCATGCAAAGGGTCAGTGTAGGACTTAGAATATCCTTTAAATGGGTTTCCCACTCCTTTCCCTTCCCTGGGTGAGGGTTGAAGAGAGATGCGTTTTCCCATTCAGAAGAAAATCATATATTTTTGTATTCTGGGGATGCTGGGGTTGGGAAAGAGAACTGTTTGTTGCATGTAGGTATTATGTGTTAATGTAACTTGTGGGGATATTAGATTAAAGTGACAGAAGCTCAGTCTGGGCCCATTTTGATGATACTCTTAAGTGGTACTACCTTAAGGTGCCATCTCTAGACCTACATACTTAATTGACAAGGGTTGGGCAGAGTCCTCAATAGGTCTTGTGGTTGAGCAACTGTCTACAGTAACAAAGAACCATGTGTGATTCCTTTTGTTTCTTCCATTTCTTTCCAATATCTGATGGTTTCTCGGAACTTCCTGGCCCTTTGCTTCTGCAGCTTCGAAAGGTAAGAATACAGAAGAGCCTGTTAGTTGGGTCTTTTGAATATTAGAGTAAAAATGAAACAGATATAAAGGAATTTCTCTTTAGAAAACTGAGACCAGAGATTGGGGTTGATTTCTCTTTTGCTAGTTTTTTTTAGAGTCCAGTAAGACTGGTAGCTGTGATGTTAACTGACAGGGAAGAAAATTATTTTAAGTTGAAGCTACCATATACTTGTTCTTTCTTTGGAAGGTGAGGGACAACTTAAGTAATAATAATCATTACCTTACATTTGGGTTGTGTTTTACCATTTTCAAAGTGCTTTAACTTCTGTTGCCCTCTTTGACACGCAAAGAAACCTTATGAGATAGGCAGGATGCGTATTATCTCCCTTCTGTAGCATATATAGACTGAACAGTTAGGTAGCTTGCCCAAGGTTATATGACCAGATCCAGGGATCTTGAAATTTGATCCATTTTTTTTAATATAAATTCTTGCTTTTCTTCTTCACCTTCATATCTTCCCCTTCATTTTAGGAGATCTGATCTGTTCTGCCCTCTTCTTTCTTCACTACCTAATTCTTGTGGTTTTGTGCTGCATTATGATGGAACACTTGTAGTTATTTCCCCTGAGGGATACAGTATTTGAAAGATCTTGTCATGTACTTAATGACAATCATTGCCCAATAATTTTGTATTTCCATCTACTTCCAGCTTTTTTGTTTATTTGTAGATTTATTATGACGAAAATTAAGTGTAACTTTGGAGCATTTCCCCTCTCCATCTTCAACCTAGTAAATAAGCATTTTTAATAACATTTTAAAAAAATTTTTTAAAATAATTTTATTTATTTATGTTTTCCCCCAAAGCCCCAGTAGATAGTTGTATGTCATAGCTGCACATCCTTCTAGTTGCTGTATGTGGGACCCGGCCTCAGCGTGGCCGGACAAGCGGTGTGCCGGTGCGCGCCCGGGATCCGAACCCGGGCCGCCAGCAGCGGAGCGCGCGCACTTAACTGCCAAGCCACGGGGCCGGCCCTAAATAAGCATTTTTAAAGACAATTATTATTTTTCTCCTTAAGTGATCTCGTGGAACCAGGCTGCACTTTGTTCTAATAAGGAGCCTAACAGATTGCTAGGTGCTTTGTGTGGCCCCTAGTTACGTGAGTGTATGTAGGAGTGTAAGATCACAGTGTTCAGGCCTGTCCCGTTGCCCTAGCATTCAGGGCAAAGTGGCCTTTTGCTCTTAAGAAGACTGTCACCTTCTGAACTAAAGTCCAGCCCAGGGGATTACTTCCACCCTCTTACTTAAAAATACTGTGATAATGATAACTTATACTACTCTAGTATATCAACAGACTAGTTAACAATGAAAATCAAAATCAAATGATTTCCTAATTTGTAAGTTCATGGAATCTATCCCTGTGTTGGCCTCTGGGATAGATCCCTTTCTTGTGGCTGTGCTCTGAGTGCCACTGCAGTTGTACAGGGATTGGGCCCTTTTCCTCCCTGGTTATGTCCCCATCCTTCTTTTATCCTGTACCTTTGTGTTACTATTGATTGTAGTGGGGTCTTCTGCAGTTTAGTAGTCTTCCTTGGCATTATATTCCCGCTATGAATTAGTATATAGTATTTTTAAAATACCCAGGCAAGACCTTTTCTCATCTTTTGTTATTTTCAGCAGTGTAACCAAACTTTTTAATGCTCCTTCAGCTCAATTTCTGCCCTGGAAATTACTTTCTATTCATTGAAGGTTCTAACTTCCTATAGCTTTGGGGTTTTTTTCCTTAAATTATTCTTAGAAATCTCTGTATCTTAATCTAAAAAGAATATGTATAAATTAGTCAGTTTAGTTTAGTGGCAGTATTGATTTTCATGTAGCAATAATCATCACTAGTAGATTGCTGCTATTTTGATGCAGGAAATTTCTAGCTAGTCTTTATCCTTAGTTTTAGTTAGGACCTTCAAGTGTTAAATTGGCACACTGTCTTAATTTCCCAGTCTTTCCATTAGGAGACACTGGAGGAGGTGTTCTCAAAAATTATTAAATCATGAGCAATTTTTTAGACATCCTAAATCTTAATCATTTTAAAAAATTTCTGGAAGAGACTTTTTTTCTTGTCAAATCTAGTCATAAGTACTTACTGTTCACCCAACTCTAACAGTTATCTGCAACACTCAGATGCAGCAAAACCTTCCTGCTTCTCATCACACATGCTACATCTGTATGTTTTTAGTCATTTCCCCTCAAGGAACAAACACATCCCCTTTTAAAAAATTATTTCTTCTTTGCATTTTCAATGTTTTACTGACTTTAGTGTTGCCTGATTAATTTTTTTCTTCTACATTTTCTTATCTTTTTTCCCTGCGAGTTCCTCTGTAAATCTGTGGTGATGCAAGCAGTATTTGACGGTTAGGGCTTGTTTTAATGTGTGTTTCTTCGAGACAAGTAATTGCTTTGATATTGTGTGTATGAGCATCAAGTAGCAGATGGAAGTGCTGCATATGGACCCAATGCCTTGTATAACACCCACTGTGACTGGGTGACTAACTTGCCCTGCCTTTCCAGATGCGATTTTGACCCTCCCTCTCTTGGTGCTCAGGCTGGCAAACTCAATACAGACTGTTCCCAAGTGGTCCCCTCACAACATGCCCCCGAAAGAATACTTCAGTGAAAAAGACTTTGGGCTTCTTAGAGTTTAGGTTTTTATCAGATAAGGAATTTCAAGCTCTAGAAACTTCAAAGGTAAGGATTCAGAGGACCCAGATCTTATCAGTATGAAAGCAAGGTTTACTTTGCTTCCAGTTTGCTTTAATCATCTCTAGTGTAACATTTCAGAATACCTTCTCCTTTAATCCTTTTTTCAAGTAGGTTACCAGTTTGTTACCAAGTCTCTCATTCATAGTCTTAATATTGATGATATAATTAAATAATAAATACTCATGACTGCTCTGTAAATGTTAGAAGTAGAGACATGGGTTAGATAACTTTTTCAAGGCTATATAGTAAGTGCCAGAGCCAAGGTTCAGACTCCAGACTGCGTGACTCCGAAGTCCATGCTCTAGCCCTCTGCTTTCCAGAAGTGTATGTCCCCACCCTGAGAGCTTAGATCCAGAAAAAAGCTGGAAGAAGGTGTATGCTGGCTTCTGCAACCACTTCATTCATTCAGGCACAAATGTCCTTGAATTGACAGTGACTCTTAGGAGTACAAAAAAGGAACACATTAGATTAGGGAAAGTAAGTGAGATACTGGATATTTAGGGTTGAAGAAGCAGAGGAATGTTCTGGTTATGGCACATTCAACTGTAGCAAAACTTATCAAGTTGGAGATAGCAGGCATGCTTATCTGGTACAGTAGAAATCCTGCTTAGATGATTTCAGGCCAGTAGTTGCCAGTCTTGATAAGGAAGTTATTTGGACACTAGGTTTTCATAATATTGCAGTATTTCCTCCCTCACTTGCTAAACACAAGTCCCTGCTCTTTGTTAAACGTGGCTGTATTCCCCTTATATTTTACTGATACCTGAAACCTCTCATATACCTACTGGCTCCTCCAGGAATGTACATTAAAGAAAATATCCGCCTCACTCTTTTCTTTTTTAATTTTATTTATTTATCTTTCCTTCAAGGCCCCAGTAGATAGTTGTATGTCATAGATGCACATTCTTCTAGTTGCTGTACGTGGGACACGGCCTCAGCATGACCAGGGATGCGGTGCGTCGGTGCACACGCAGGATCCGAACTCGGGCCGCCAGCAGCAGAGCGCACGCACTTAACCGCTAAGCCACGGGGTCGGCCCCCGCCTCACTCTTTACATCTGCCTCCTATAGTCAAAGGTCTCCAACCACTGCGTCGTTAAGGTTCAGGAAGATGTGTGCCTTTTTACTAAGAGAAGAGCTAAGAGAGAGGAACTGGTCCTGAGATTTACATTACAGCTTCTCTTACACATTTTTCTCTCTTAAGGATTAGTCTCTTGTTTCTGAACTCTTGACTTCCTATAAATTAGGAATTTACTTAGTTGATTTATTCTTTGCCAGGGAATGTTTTCTATTGATTTGATAGACAGTGCTATAAAACTTCTAGTCCTTGTTCACTTTCTCACTTTCCTTATGGTGCTCAGCAAGGAGTCGTTTATCGTGGTCTCCTTGTTGACTCTGCTTCTTGAATTCTTTGGGAACATGTTCAGTAGTTAAATTTTTTTTTTTCATCTTCTCCTAGGGAGCATTTCTATCACTGTGGTGACCTCAGGTCATTATTTATATGTGCAAGATAACTAGTTTTTCATTCTGCTTTCCTTCTAACTCTTACTCTCTTTTGTTGATGACATGATCCCATTAAAAATCTCTCTTGAAACATGGTGATAACTAATGTCCTAAGTAGAGTGATGTTTTTCTTTTTAGGTTTATTCCTTCCTTCCAAAAACCTTTTGGACTCCAGATCCACAAGCTAATCACCCTTAGTAGGTGTGCAATGGACAATATGTAGCATTAGACCCTCTCCCTGTTAAAGTGTGAGGTGCATTATGGGAACTGTGAGCATCAGAACAGTTCTCCAAGTAGTTAGTGGCAGTAATTTAGAAAGAACTCTTGCTAAAAACTAAGATCTTGACCAAGAGCTGAGAATTTCATAAACAATAACAGTATTCTAGTTAGGGTTTGACTGTGTGGGTCCCAATCCCAAGGTTTGTGCTCTTGTCTCACAAGTGAGAACTGTTGGCAGCAATGAGTGGGTTTAGCTATCTGCTCCTCTCCCAAAACCTTCTTGGTTCAGGCTTTAACAGGAGCCTGTGGTGGGGAAGCAATCCCCTCTTTCCCAAAAGGGATCTAAGGGTCTTTTTCCTTTTCCCTGTGATCCTCTTCTGTCTGCTAGGTGGCATCCACCCGGTTGAATCTTTATCAGGAAATGTCCTAGTGAATCTTTACAGCTTCTGCAACTTTAACCTCTAGACATAAGATTTTGGTAAGGGTGCAACATGCCCCACCTTATTCAGTGAGTCTCTTGTCAGAAAGGGGTCTGTTCTGTCAGT